AAATTAGATCATGATACTCTTCAGTTCAAAACCCTTCATTGCTTTTCATGACACAGGATGAATTAACAAATCCTTAACGTGATCTGCAAGGACATTAGATCATGTGGCTCGTACGTTACTCTCCAGCTTCATCTCAAGCCACTATCCCCATTATTCCCCAAGCTCTGGACATATTAGCTCCTTTCTGTTCATTTTATGATTTTTAGGTTCAAGTCTTTGTTATATTTCTCCCCTGAATGGTTTACACCTCACCTTTTGGTAACGATCCCCTACTCATACTTAAACACTTTCTTCACAGAAGTGTTCCCTGATTCCCTAATTTAAAATAAAGCTCTTTTGTTAGACTGGCTTCTATAAAATAAAACCTTGTACTTTTCTTTCTTAGTACTTGCCACAGTTTGTATTTATATCTTTTATTTCTATAATTATTTATTTAATATCAATCTCTTCTCCCAGACTGTAAACTTAATTAGGGTGCAGAACAAGTTTGTTTTGCTTACTACTATTTTTGATAGAATGGTCAGAGAAGCATACTCTAATGAGGAGACACTTGAGAAAAGACCTATCTGAGCATAGCAGGCAGAAGAAACAGCACACAAAAGCAGGGTTACCTGGCCTGTTAATAAAATAGGCAGAGGCCAGAAAGGCTGCAATGGAGTGAGCCATGGGCTGAGAAGGTGCATGTTGAATGTGAGGTCAGACAGTTAGCAGGGAAACAAAAGCGATCAAAAGAATATAGAGTTTTAACAAGACTGTCAAACATAGTCAAGAGGTTCAGTAAGATGCACACCAATCAAAAGATCAATGGTGACTCCACCATGGAAGAATATTTTTCAGTTCCTCCTAACTATGACATAAAAAATCTTATATGCACAATTATATTAACCCATTGGATGGTAAGTATGGACACATACTTTCTTGCAGCTACAAACTGATAATATTATTCCACACTAGAAACATCTATTGTACAATATGTGCAAGTTAATAATTTACATAAAAACCAAATCTGTAACATTCACAGAACAATAGCATTCAAAAGCAACTTTTGCTATTAAAATATTTTCCTGCCTTTTTGAGAAATTCATGATTCTAGGTAGAATACATAAATTTTTCTATGTAAAGTGCTACTGAATTTATAAACAACTGTTTTAGTATGTTGCTGACTCTACCACTTTGGTTTCAAGCAGGGATAAGTACTTTTTGGTATTTAATAAAATTACTTAATTTAAAATATAAAATTATTCTCAATAGACTAATTTATCTAATTTTATTCCACTATCAGTATCATCACTGTAAAAAAGAGCATATGTCAAGTATTTATTCATTAATTTATTCAACAAAATTTTTTTTTTGGCACCTACTGTGCATCAGGCATTATCCTAGGTGCTGGGGATACCATTGTGGACAAAAGAGATTAAAAACCCCTTCCATTTTGGAGCTTCCATTTTATTGAGAAAGAAAATAATAAAAATGATAAGTAAAATATATGATATTTAAATATCATAGATAGTAATAAATGTTGAAAATGGGAAAACAAAGCAGGAAAATGCAATATAAAATATTTTGGGAAAGAAGTAAAATTTCAGACAAGAGGGGCTACAGAAGGCTTTTTTGAGAAAGTGCTATTTGAATAAATGAACTGAAGAAAGTGAGAAAGCTAGCCAAATGAATTTTGGGGGGAAAGCACCCTAAACAGAGCAAGCATGCTGTGCAAACAAGAAGCCATGGTGACTTGAACAAAAAAGAGAGTAGTAGGAGAGAAGGGGTCAAAGAGTTAACAAAGGCCAGATCGGGTAAGGCCTGATAAGTCATTGTAAGGTTGTTTTTGGTTTTTCCAGTGACATGAGAAGGCTCTTCTGGAGCAACAGTGTCCAACAGAACATTCTGCAATATGTTCTGTGCTGTCTAATATGGTAGTCACCAGTCATATGTGGCTACTGAGTATATGAAATATGGCAAGTGTAACTGAGTCACCAAACTTTTTATTAAATTTAATTTTAATTAATTTTAATAGCCACACATGACTAGTGGTTACAGCCTTGAATAGTTCTGCTCTAGAGATTTCTGAGCAGAACAAAAGAATTTACATTCTAATAAGAAACACCCAGGTTGTTGTGCTAAGAATGGACTTTAGGAGGATAAGGCTGAAAACAAAACCAGGAAGACTATTCAAAATGCTGCTACAAGAAGTCAAGTGAGAAGTGATGGTGACATGGACCAAGGTGGTATAAAATATACTGGTGAGATGCAGCAAAATGCTGGATATTTTCTGTGGCAGAGTAAATAAGATTTGTTGAAGGGCTCAATGTGGTATGTGTGAAGAGTAGTCAAGGATGAGAACATTTATGGCCTGGGCAAGTATAACAAAGGAGTTGCCCTCAGTTGAAATGGAGAATAATGCACGAGAAACTGATTTGGGAGAAAATATCAGGAGTTCAATTTTGAGATCTTAAGTGCGAGATGACTTAGATATCCAAGTGGAAGATGTTATCTAGGCATATGGATATATGAGACTGGAGATGTCGAGAGAATCTGGACTAGAGATAATTAATTTGGGAGTTATCAACATATTGGAAATATTTTTAAGCCATGTGTAGAGAGTGAATAAGGTAAAAAAGAGGACCAACAACTGAGTCCTGCTAATTAATCAAATACTAGAGAAGATTATAGGGAACAACACCTATGCTTAAAGATTTTGAGTTCAGTGACATAGTAAGGGATGATAATAGAAATACTGTTTTGTTTTGTTTTTTCAGTAGTCAGCACTAAGAATTAATTTCCCAGAAAGGACAGAAGATACCTGTTCTTCTGAGGGGTCTGCCACTCTTTCTTTCAATCTAATGAGATATCAGAAAGGGACAGCTGCCCAGCTATCAGAGGATGCATTTGACACGTTACCACACGACCGCTGCTATAGAGGTTACTGTCCTGTAGCTGTATTCTAATTACATGATGAAATATAATTAAAACCCAAGCCATGTATGGCTTTATGCATTTAAGGCAATATTCTGAATCATACCAGCTGAATTATTAGCAATATAATATCATTGTCCTGACAATATATAACTAAGTACATAAACACAATTCCAATGACACAAAAAGAAAAACAAGGTCTATAGATGGGTAAAATGTCATGTTATTGTTGCTCTGTGTACTGGTTAAACTTTATGTGTCAACTTGGCTAGGCTACGGTGCCCAGTTGTTTGGTCAAACAGTAGTCTTGCTGTTGCTATTAAGGTATTTTGTAGATATGATTAACATATATAATCAGTTAATGTTACGTAAGGATAGTACCCTCAAAAATGTGGGTAGGGTTCCTCCAATCAGTTAAAGGCCTAGCAAAAACTGAGGTTTCCTGGAGATGAAGGAATTCTGCCTTGAGTCTGTAACATAGAAATCTTACCTGAGTTTCTAGCCTGCTGGAATGTCCTACCAATTTCAGACTTAACCAGCTCCCACAATCATATAACCATATTTCCTAAAATAAATTTATTCTATGTACATAAATATCACATATATCCTATTGTTTCTCTTTACGTGTTTCTCTGGAGACCCCTCACTGATTCATTCTGCATCATTTTTTTTTTTTTGTACAAGTAGTGTGATAATATGTAAGTTTTTTTTTTTTTTGTCTTTTTTTCCATGTCCAGCAACGGATCGCAACCCTCAGTGTTGCCCCCGTACCGGACCGGGGACCGGCAACGAGATCGCAAGCCTCGGCGTTGCTCCCGTGCCTCGCTCAGCCAGTGAGCGGGAGCCGGTCTGTATGTGGGATCTGAACCCTCGGATGGGAGCGCCGCCGCGCTTCCCAAGCGGCGCACTATCCAGTGCGCCACCTGGGCCGGCCCTGTAAGTTTTATTTAACCTCAGTAAGCTTCAGTTTCCTTCTTGTAAAATGGAGAAAACCTCAGTATCACACTTAATAGAGAAGTTCTAAAGGTTAAATTATATAATCCACATAAAGTTCTTAGTATGATGCCTGGCACACAACAAATATTCAATAAATATTATATCTCTTGGTTATTGCTATTATTATAATAAAAAATTTTGATGATTTTTAAAGATATTACATTGTAATTTTACCTTAAATGTAAAAATAACCAAGTTTTCTTAAGTATATATTTACACTTACAATCATTGTAATTTTACCTTAAATATAAAAATAATGAAGTTTTCTTAAATATATTTTACACTTACAATCTGAGAATAGATGGTCAAATACCATCTTCTAGATCACTTCTACCAGGATTCTTTTTAATAGTGTCCTGTCTACATTTAACAAATCCCCAAACTCTGCCAGAGATTTAATAAAAACATTTAATGGGCTCAAATAAAATGAAGAAATAAAAATAAAGAACATCAGCAATAGTGATCTGCCTTACTGATAGGTTTCTAGAAAACGTTATTATGCAGATGAAAAAAAAATTATGCCCACAAAGCTTTAGGAAGGAGAAAATTTGTAATTCATAAACAACCAAGTTTAGTTTTAGTTGTATTGTAATATCATAACTATTCTAGTTTGAGATGAAAATCCTTCCTAGGTAAGACTAAATATGAAACTAGGAAAGAAAATACCTAAAAAGAACATATTACTTCTCTACAGTAAATGCTTATATTATTATCTGTGTATAAGAAAAATTAAGAATGATATAAAGTTAATAAGATTCGACTCTGAAAGATTAGAAAAAAAGAGCTACTTCTTATACCTACCACCCATGTTATATACGTGAGACAGCAGTCTAAAATAATTGCCTAAACAAATTTTGTATTATATTACATATTATGATAAATTAGAGATAACTTCCATTGGAGCTAATTTTAAAAGCTTAGATTTTCCTCTGAACCCTTCTAATAGAGCATTACTAAAGATTTCAGGAAAATATTCAAGCAATTTTTAATAATTTAAATCATATTTTCTAAATTAATTTATAGTCATATTTTTAAATTCCAACTTTTAAAATTAACCTATGACTTACTACTTATAATTTATTATAACTCACCTATGAGAAACTGCCCCCCAAGCACCATGTTTATTTGTGAGAATATTGAGAATTTTCTGTTTCAGTTGATTTGCTGTGACATGATCTCGATGTTTGGCAGCACTGATAAGGTGGTCACACATCTTTTCTTCTTCTCTTCTATCAGCAGCATATTGGGCACACTGTGACTATAAAGAAATACAAAGAATGCAGAACAATAGACTTTTTTTTTTTACCATATATAAGAAAGAAATGATATCTAACCTTAAGTTAAAGGGTAATAACAATTCTTTTTTTTTTTTTTTTTTTTTAAATTCCTGACTGGTAAGGGGATTGCAACCCTCGGCACAGTATGGTCTGCACCACGCTCAGCCAGTGAGCGCAGTGGCCTTCCCTATACAGGATCCGAACCCCTGGCCTTGGTGCTACCAGCGCTGCACTCTCCCAAGTGAGCCATGGAGCCAGCCCAACAATTCAATTTTTAAAACTCAAACAGTATAATATTTTGATATTTTGTTCTAAAAAATACATGTAGTCACCTTTCAAACTGGTAAAAATGTGCTCTTTCTAAAGTATATGTAAAATAATTTGGATAATGTTAAAGTAATTAGTGACTTTTATGGTTCTTTCTAATTTTGAAAATCTTATTTTAATATATTTTAAAATAATCATTTTAGATACACAAATGTTCATTAAAAATGCAAATCTACTTGTTATTTTTAAACAATTTAATGTATCTCACTTAAAATAAGAAATATTTTCCTGATAATTATACATAAATCAAAAATTTGTCATTTAATTTACAGTTTTTAACGTGATATGGAAGAAAAAGCAGGCATTTAGGAATTTAGTAGAACAGAATCTTTTTTCATATTTCATGCAATCCCAATTTTTTTCATTGTACTCAAGTTTCAATTTGTAAAATGAAAAGCTGAGACAAGGTTTTCTCTATGATCCCTCCCAACTCTGTGATTTAATATGTTTAAAGGGTCTCATGAAAACTGCCTTATTCTTCCCCTCTTCCATGATAATCAGTTGTCCTGCCAGCTATCTCTATTCATGCTCCCTGGTGTTAGAAACATAGTTGACCAATGATGGCTTTGGGTATCAAAAAGGTTCAATATGAACATGAAGAGAAACATCTCTTTAATCACAAGTTTGATTCATTGTATAGTAATTTTTATACAGAGTGGCTTGACTGTAAATTTTAACATTAGCAAGTATGTAATACAAGTCATATAACTAGAAAAAAAACCTTTTATACACCTGATAAAATTTACACAAGTATAACTAGTTCTCATTCATTACTGCGCAAAAATCTATTTCATGGAAGGTACTTCAACATACTCCTTCCATCTATCTACTGATAGAGACTACTACCACAAGTCATCCTTTTTAGAGAAATAACCCTACAGTAATATAAGAAGGATTAATTCATTTTCCAATTCATCTTTTTGTACGGGGAATCACCAATTAGTACAATGATCTGCCTCAGTAATGAGGTTAATATTTCATTAGCTCATTGGAGAGTAAAACTGAATTTACATTTTTCTTCCTTAACAATTAGTTTTTAACTAAAAAGCTTAACTGTGAAGTACCCATCTCAGATTAAGTATACTTTTCCTCCTAATTACATGCTTATATGGGGGTCAGAGAAATTCCTCAGACAGTCGTAGTAAATGTCATGACATTTATAAAATCTTTTATAATTTAAAAGATGATAAGCATTTGGTAAACTACATACACACACACAGACATACACACACACAGACATACACACACACATGCATCAATGCATTTAGTAGTACAGCTCTAACCTAAAGAGAATAAATGTAAACATTTGGGTTAAAAAATAACGTACAGTATGTAACAATGGCAATATACTCAAAATTATATTAATATTAATATTATATATATATACACACACACACACACACACACATACATTACCTAAAAAATGCTAAGTTTTCATGTCTCTTTCAAAGTCTCTTATTACCTTTGGCCATGCATCCACGGGAGTGACCTCATTCCCAAGGAGGAAAAAATTGGTGTTGGAAGTGTGTGAAAAAAATCTTACTGTTTTAATGCATGGAGCAGAAATGCATATACGGCCCACAAACAAATATGCAACAAGGTGGTGGTATTAAAATTATACTGAGGTGGAGGGGAGGCAATTAGGAAAAAAAGTCTAAAAAGATTCCTTAGAGGGGCAATAATTTTTAAAAAGGTGGAGAAACACTACCCTCAGCTTAACACCACCTTGGTTCAATATGTGTTAAAGCTCCTAACTAATATCTAGATGCTTGAAAATCTATTTTAAATGTTTCTCATGACAAATATTGATCTCCTTATAGCACACAAAATATCTTCATTTTCTTAGTGGAAATATGATTGGCTCAAAACTGACCCTGCAGGGAATTTAGTTAAGATTCTAAATCTTATTTACTAACAGAAGTTGAAAATTGAATATACTTATTTTGTTTGAGTTCTGACATATCTTATACCTAAACATATTTTTAAAAGAACAGATAATTTTAATCTTTTCTTGCCATCCATGTTACTGCATAATACACTGATAAATAACAATACTTTTTCATTGTTGAAGAGATACGAAACTTCTCTTTGATAAACACTTAATTGTCACTACACTTTTATCAAAGTTTAAATATCTGGTATTTTTTTCAACATAAAGTTGTTGCCATTCCACAAGACAAGTGCCTGCTGTCTCATCAGACCAAATGAAGTAGAGGTTATGTGTATGAAAGCGATGACAGCTATTTTTCTGGCTCGTGCTTTTCAGTTAGCTAGGTCAGAGATCACTAGACCTAGTCCATCAACTTGTATGACTCAGAGAGCTGCTATACTGAGATAAAAACCTCATCAAAACTGGAATTGTGGGCTCTGATTTCTAGCCACACAACACTCGTTGGCATGTTGCAGCAGGAGAATAAACTGGTAGGGTTATTCATTACTTTCAAGGCCACTGAGAGTCCAACCTCGGCCAAATATCACCTAAATATTTCTGAAATCGATTTTGTTTTATAAATTAAATAAACTAAAATACTAAATAATTGATATATTTAAAACATTGAAATTAGGAGATTTTCTGAATCCTATATGAGTTTGTTCATGTAAATATATCATATATTCATATCTACTAAGTGGTGTATTAACCTCTGCTAGCTTAAAAATCACTGAAGTAATTGCATTATACAGCTTTATTTGCTTTTACTCTCAGAGTAAGTTAGAAAAACTTCAGTCTATCAGGTGGCTAGGCACAGGGCAGGAGGAATTTTTTCATGTTGTAAATAAGGTGAAAATAAACTAGTGCTCTGTGTCTGACATTTAATAAATCTTCTAAAAATAGGACCTGAAATGCCTTCAGTAGACTTTTTCTCTTGAAAAAAAGCTTTTTATGTAAGGTTACAGATGGGTGATGGTTGACTTATAACAGAAAGGCAGAATTTAATCTACTTCTAAAACCTTACCTCAAATTCTGCATGTTTATGTACGTCCTCAGCTCTCTGTCTGTTCAAAATAAACTCAGCTTCATTGGCAACTCGAACTATATGGTCCTTCATAGCATGGCACAGTAATCTAAAAAGAAAAATGCCTTTGGAATTATTGTTCTTAATAGCTTTGGTTAGTCCAACTTTTTTCAGTAATCAAATTTCAGCATTTCAAATATTAATTATGCATACATCTTAGAAAAAGCTGATCATACAATTAATATATTTTAAATTATAATCCAATGAAATACAGAAATATATGCCATAAAAAATGTTACAGCATATGCCTCTATAAAATAGTGTGTCTCGTGAACCAGTGATTGAGGCAATTCAATAAAGATATTTAACTCAATAAATATCAAAGATTTTTATTGGGGTGTTTTTAAACAGTTAAGCCACAAAATCCACTCTCCTGGAAGTAAATTTTTACCCATAAGTTGGAAGACCACATATTAGGAAATCTATAGACTAGATTCTTACTTTAATGAATACAGGTGATTGGACTAAATGATATCTAAAATTCTTTTAAATGCTGAGATTCCAAATTCCAAGATGGAACTGCGGTGAATAGAGTTTTTTTAAAAAGGTGGACTAAATGATATCTAAAATTCTTTTAAATGCTGAGATTCCAAATTCCAAGATGGAACTGCGGTGAATAGAGTTTTTTTAAAAAGGTGGACTAAATGATATCTAAAATTCTTTTAAATGCTGAGATTCCAAATTCCAAGATGGAACTGCGGTGAATAGAGTTTTTTTAAAAAGGTGGACTAAATGATATCTAAAATTCTTTTAAATGCTGAGATTCCAAATTCCAAGATGGAACTGCAGTGAATAGAGTTTTTTTAAAAAGGTGGACTAAATGATATCTAAAATTCTTTTAAATGCTGAGATTCCAAATTCCAAGATGGAACTGCAGTGAATAGAGTTTTTTAAAAAAGGTAAACATGGGAAAAAAAATTTTTTAACTATGTATTTGGGAAGTCAAATTGTTTTTAAAATGTGTGATAAGATATACAGTGAAAAGACTCTCACCACATCCCTTATTCACCTAAATTCCAACCTCAACAGGTACCCACCGTTACTAGCTTCCAGAGACTTTAAGATATACATTAAAAATACAAATATATTGCTTCCCTAACTTTCTAACACTAATAGTATATTATACAGTCTGTTCTGTACTTAGCTTTTCTCACTTAGCAATATATCGTTTTATATCTATACGCAGGGAGCTTCTTTATACTTCTTTTATAATGTGGCAGAGGTTATTTTCAATGATGGCTTCAACAATATTTCCCATTCCACATGCTCTTTTGCAGTGTAATTTTGTCCTTGTCCCATCAAAAAGTGGAGTCTTTTTCCACTCCTCATAGATCTGGGCTTGCCCTGTGACTTCCTGTGACCAAAAGAAGAGGGCAGGAGTGATGCTGTGTGACATAAGAAACTGGGGCTCAGAAAAATTAAGTACCTTGTAGCAGATCAGAATTTTTTAAAATAATTCTTGTAATTTTATATTTTGCATTCTATCTTCATTAACTAATAATATTTTTTAAAGTAAAATCTTTTAATTTCATTTATTTCAGCTATCCTTTGCAGGACCATTTAACATTAATTCTCTTCATTTTGTCCATTTAAACAATGATTAGATCTTTTTTATATCTTCTTAAATATTTTCTTTTGCAGTAGCAATTATTAGATGTTAAAAAAATCAAGGAATATTTGAAAAGTTAACATCAAGTCCTTCTGGGTTTTACTTAATGGGCAAGCTTATGAAGTAGTATCAGTTTCTTTATCTATGTACTTTTCAAATTCACTTTTAATACTCATATTCATTCATTGTCCAGTTTTTCTCTCCTGAGATTTTAATCAAGAATACCACTTTTAACTTCACCATTCTTTATTTTAACTGCTCATTAATGAAATGAATCATCATTTTTTTCTTACTCAAATTGGCATAAATTACAATCAGAATGGGATAGGTTTAACTTTATTTTAATTTTTATATTTACTAACTACCAATTCATAGTAATTCCTCCTATATTCTCCACTGGATATCTATGTAACCATGGCAAACTTGTCTTCTTCACTGATAAACACATACAAGCAAAGAAAAAAATATTATATATCCTGATATTTCTAGATTATCTTTTAAGTATAATTTTAAAAAGCTACATGTCTTTGAGGTGAGTCTGACTGTATTGAATGTATTTGTTCTTTCTAATGTATTAAGATTGAATTACACAGCACTAAGTTTAATATCTTTTTTTTTTTTTTTTTTTTTTTTTTTTCTTTTTCCGTGTCCGGCAACGGATCGCAACCCTCAGTGTTGCCCCCGCACTGGACCGGGGACCGGCAACGGGATCGCAACCCTCGGTGCTGCTCCCGCGCCTCGCTCAGCCAGTGAGCGGGAACCGGTCTGCATGTGGGATCCGAACCCTCGGGCGGGAGCGCCGCCGCGCTTCCCAAGCGGCGCACTATCCAGTGCGCCACCGGGCCGGCCCTAAGTTTAATATCTTTCCATCAAATTATTTGTAATATATAGGTGGCATCTTCCACAAAAACTGACAGGTGAATGGTTCCTTTATTTCAGGGTAGTAATGTAAATTCTGAGCAGCAGCACTGAATCTCAAGACAGTTCTCAGCAGAAATCTTCCCAAATCCAAGTCTCCTCTGACATAGATTTATTTACTCCTTGATGAGATTTAGGTTAAATGACAACTCCTTCACTCTAGGAACGGTGCGGATGGTTCTGGCAGTATGGCAGAGGCACCACTAAAATATTGCATAGCGGCAGGATAGGTGGAGATATTTCCCAGGAACATGCAATGGTATTCTCTCCAATGACTTGAGAAGGAAACAGGCACATACCAATGGGAATGCTGGCTAGTTTTCAATCCAAAGTTAACCATAACACAAATTATCAAAAGAACACAAAGGTTACGGGAATCTGTTACAAAGTACAATACTTAAGAAAAAGGTCCAAAATCCTTTGTAAATAATGTTGGAGGGCAAACAATTACATAGCCTTCATCTCAATCACTGAGGGAGATTGAAAAATAAAGACTATAACATAAACTCTCAGTATTAACTTAGATGAAATTATTCGCCTGCATTTTGTAAATAGGCTTCAAATGACAGAAGAGATGTGAAAATTGAAGCATTTGGTTCAGTGGCTTTGTCTAGTGCATGCTGAAGGCTGAAGAAAGCCAGGAAGAAATTTAATATGTGCAAATTAGTGCAGATTACAAAACTTAAATAGATTAACAGGAGACAGCAGGACGGGAAAGGCTCGTGGTCTGGCTGGTTAATAGATACCATTCCCAGGAGCAAAGCAAGGGACTGGCAAAGCAAAGGGCATGGGGTGGGGGAGGGGTGAATGGGGTGGGGGTGGTGTAACGAAAGACTTGCCTCAGACACAGCCTGTCCTCCGATCTCAAGCATTTAGAAGTTACATGTCAGCTAATCTAAGTTGTTTTATTTACATGGGGAGAAGGCAGCTTTCTATCTGACTCTTGCCATCATTCTGGGTGACTTCATTACCCACACACATGGAAAAACATTCACCATAGTAGCTCATGATTCCTTGACCTCATTAATTCCAAAGATTTTCAATTCTTCCTCACTGCAGGCAATAGGTCTACTGGCCAGAAGTGGCTTTACTTCTTACATCTTTAAGCTTCAAGAATCTGCTTCAGACCGCAACCTCCTACTCTTGCAGCTCTCTCTCCCCCTCATAAGTCCCTCCGTCTGCCCCAGGCAAAAATAAACTCTTGACTGTCTCTAACCTCTAGTTCTTCAATCTCTCTATTTTCCTCCTCCTCTTTTGTTTTATGCCCAAATTCACTTCCTTTCCCATCATGTTTGGATCCCGCGATCCCATGCTTTACCCACTCTCTCGCCAGTCCCTTCACTCAGTTCCTGATGTACCTGCTGCACTGGCTCTCAAAATATGTAACCCTGGATTAAGACATTGGTCTCCCTCCTCAGACCTACATCTGGACTGCTAAGGAAACTCACAAAACTAAATTTCATTGATGATGGAATTTGAATTTCTTTTTCAAAGTCGATTTGTTTTCACTCAGGTTTTCAGAGGTGGCATGGATGTCTTTACTGTATTAACATCATTCACTTTAAAAAAATATTATATTTAAATAAATACAAATTTATTATATATGCTTGTGTGTGTATATACACCATTCTGTTGCATTTTGTGTTTCTCAGTCTCTTGCTTCTTTAATAAATTGTTTTATCTCGTATATGTATGTATGCCAAAGCAATATGTTGTTCAGATTGCTTATTTATGAATGTTATGTATAGAGCTGCAGGTTTTCTGTAAATACTCTTTTTCAGATTAAGAAGATTCTCTTCTATTCCTAGTTTCCTAAGAATATATTTTATTTAAATAATGAAAGTTGTTGAATTTCAATATATGCTTCTGTACCTACTGAGATAATCATAAAGGTTTTTACCTTTAATATGATAAATGAATGACATTTTTAGAAAATTTTAAAATGATGAGCAACTTTTACATTTCTGGGATAACTCTCTCATCTCCCTCCTTCAGTCCCCTACCGCCACTTCTCCATCCAACACAGAGACTTTGTATATTTTTATACACAGCTATATTAGGGTCTGGTAATCTTCTAATTAGGATTTACACAACTACATTCATGAGGGAGACTGGCCTGTGATTTTCCTATCTCCCACACATCATGTTTGCTTTGGGAGTCAAGATTACATAGGCCTCAACAAATGAGCTGGACCATTCCCTCTGTTTCTGTTCTCTAACAGTTTCTGTAAGGGTGGAATGGTGTTTTACTTGAAGATTTGGTAGAATATACCTGGAAACCATTTGGGCTTAGAATTTTCTCTCTAGAAAGAACTTTTACTAATTACCTTCCTTTCATATTCAAAGAACTACTTACAGTTTTGTGTTTTCTCACTCGGTTATAGGAAGTTATATATTTTATAGGAATTTGCCCATTTAAATTTGTAATTTTAATGGCGTAATGTTTTGATAATGCTCTCATTTTCTTTTCTAATTTCTGTTTTATGTATAATTATGTACCTTTTTCATTCCTTATGTTCTGC